TTCCAGTTACTCGTCAGAGCAATATACCACTACAAATATTCCAGATGAACGGTCTACAGGACGTCACGTTACGTTCCCGAAGCAAACATTCAAAATTGAGCAAACATTCGAAATTGTTTTTTTTTACCATAATTGTGAAAGTTGATGTCGTCTCTCCAAAAGAAATTTCGAAATTCATGTCGAGGGTTAATCTTTTCCTTCATCTTTTCCTTCAGAATGATGCATTATATCAACGATTAATCAAATACCATTGAATGTTAGTAATGTATCTCGGAAAATCTACATTGTGTGTATAGATTTAGATAATATGGGAGCGTCCAGATACCAAAACTTGAATTTTTGGAATATCCATGAAAATCTGGATTCAAAAAGTATAATACATGAAATTGGCGAACAGTTTGTGAATAGATTCATTTCTAGCCAAACTATTTTTTCCTGAGAAATCTCCTGAAAGAGGTCGGTTTTCATTTCCGAAGAAAAATGGAATATATACATGATAATTTACATTCGAGTTACGACGTCCGCGACAATTTTCTTGAAGAAACACCCTATGCGTTCGTTTACTCAAGTGTTTTTGTGGAGTGTGAATGAATTCGTTGAGAATTGAAGGAATAATTGTTCGAAAGAACGCTCGAACTTGAAGCCGTAGAATTCTAATTTCAAATAGAGGATACAAAAATTCAATAATATAAATGGGGTTTCCGTTTCAAGTATAGGGGGTGCCACTCAATTTACTCAAAATGTATATTTTATGTTCAATAGAGAATTTGAGAATATCACTGAAGTTTCAGGAGTCCAAATGATAGAGCCTTCTGAAATAAAAATTACAATTATTTTCTTGGATTGTTGAAACACATGAAAAGATGAATCAAACAGTTTCAAATTTGAAACCTATTGATTTTGCCAAAAAGCAGAGGAAGCTCCAAGATTGCTGCAGAGGACAGCCTAGTATCATCAAGGTTATGTCATATATGGAATGGTCACAGTGGTATAACATATAATGAATGCGAAATGGATGGAATCATCATAATCCACCAATTGAATGGAATGGTATACTGAAACATTATAAAGGTGCGCAATCTGAACTACTGCCTCATATTACTATGGGGGAGTGTGGGCACTTAAAGAATAAAAAGGTGGTGATGATAATTCAGGGTTATAATTTGAAGAATTAAATCCCTGACAAAAACCTGGCTATTATTATGACATGGTAAAGTCCTCTCCAGAAATCCTGTAGAACTCCTGTCACAGGCTGCTTGGTGGCATGGAGGGCAGCATAGGTCACTGCAGGCGAGATGACAAAGTCCCTATAATGGGGAAAGTATCCCCTACCAGCCCACGGGGCTAGACCCTTCGTTTCTCCTGCCTGGCGTCCCTAGGTGGTGTAACGAAGGGGAAAAGCCCAGTATGTCGGCTTTTCCTTAAGGTGACCATCAACCTAATGAAATCTCCTGCAGTCTGCTCTGGCCAGGATCCAATGGCCTAGAGTGAGCTATACTAACTGGGAGAGTACTGGGGAGGGCAGAAATGAGGGTTTCTAAAAGGGACGGTCGAACCCGCCAAAGGCAAGCTGAACAGGCTGGCAGAAGCGTCTCACCCCCATCTCACAGACCCTGGGACACTCGGGCTATCCTACAACCCTATTGGAAGAAAAGACATGGTATAACCTCCCATTCCGCACTATGAAATCAGCATCACCGAAACTCGATCAACGTCCTCGAATATCGACTTACCTTCAGAGGAAGGGCTAGGAGAATCTAACAGGGAGCCATGCTGTCGGTGTCCCATCGCAGGTGGCACTTTCCTAGGTGGTGTCACAAATCGACCAACAGGTCGAACAAAATAACACCACTTAATTTGGGTGAATTCCCATATTAAATCCCTTACAGGGTCAACCATCTTTGAACAAAAAAGTTCACCACAAATTTTTCATGTCTGCTCTCCAATAGCCACCTTGGAAAAAGCCAAGATGCCAAAAAAGTCGTCCGCAGGTTTTCGCTATCTCCCCTCCACCTATTTTTACGATGCCAATCCTTAAAATTGAAACAACCTTAACATGGTCCACTCTCATTGGTCGGAACGCGTTTGTCAACTTCACATCTCTGCAAGGCGTAAGGAAACTAGCAGAAAATAAAAGAAGAACGTTCGACATCTTCTTCGTCGATTCGACACTGCTCCTGACGACTGTGCTACGATGATATCCATCCATGGCAAGTGACAGCGTTGACCGTGTGTAAAGTGAAAGGGTTGACACTGACGTGCGGAAGGAATACCTAATCTATCTTTTCAACCCATAAAATCTACATAAGAATTATACCCAAATAATCCTAAAAATAAACAATCAATTGTTCACCTCATCACCGCTGGAGAATACTACAGGTAAGTCAACAGCTTTCCATTAGCACTACTTATTGAATCAGACAAGTATAACACTCAAATGAAAATACAAAATACTGATTTGCTTTCTTTATTTTCAGGACCTGTTTACTTGGATCAGCACAGCTCGAGGCTTTCATCACTTCCTACAGGTGCACTGAACGTGTGAAGAATTGTGATATCTGGTGAAATGTGTATGAGTCTTTTACCTATCAATAAATGTTTTATCTTGTGAGTGATGTTCATCGATCTCCTAACTTAGTGCTCTCTCTGTAAGTATGCTTTCTTGATGATAATATTATTTGAATGTTCACTTAGGATTTCATGAAAACAAAATGAAAAATCTATACTCAGCAAATTTGAACGCTACATTCTCAGGATTCACGCTGAGCCTCTGCTCCTGGCACCTTTCCTGAACTAGTCCTGATGCCCTCTTTGCCACGTCGTACACATTCTCTAGGAAGGGTCCTTCAATAAACAAGAACTACTACCACTAACAGGATCACGTCATCTGCGTAAGCTTGTGCATAGATTTCCTCCTGCGATAGCAGTAATCAGTCTACAACTAGACAACACAGCATAGAAAAGTGTACTCCTTCCTGCTCTCGGCGGGATATTGTCTTCAACGAGCGAGGACTATTGACCTGATTACCTCACTGTCACGTTTGCGAAAATATGGACAACCATTTAAAAGGCTGAAGGAATCGGGCTCGACAGTTCTGGTTCTGTATTTTTCCAATAGTATCATGGAGAGTCAATCTTGATGTTGAATCATTCTCGATGAAATGGCCCGCAAAACCAGGTCCTGAATGAATGTGTATATTTGTTGTTTCAAAAATGATTTTTTTTACGACCACTCCTGAAATATGAAATAACTCATTCAAACGTCTCAGTATACAACAATACCGAAACGTTTTTTTTGCCACTACCACATTTCATCTCCAGTGTTGTGCCTCAATAATGAGCCATGTGTCGTTACATTGAAATTTGCAAAGACGATAATATTAACGACGCTGTAAGTAACAGATATGTTTCACGTTCAACTTCATGGAAAGTGTGAACAAAAATAGGAAAAAGCTTGTGAATTGTAAGTTTCGCAACTGTGATTATTATCAAAGTGAGTTCCAGTGTTTATGAGGATTTCTGTGATTCTATGGTTTGAGATTACGAATTGATGAATTCATGAATCATGACATGGGGCATTGCCGCTCGACACTTCGACGGCCTTCGTTTGAAATTTTCTGATATTCATTTTATTATTCATATTCTCCTCGGAACCAGCAAGGCAACAATATTCTGTAAAGTGAATGAATATTTCATTGGTTATTTCAATCACTACAAAGATATGTCGAAAAAATCATTGAATTTGTCGTCAACACTTTTTTGGAGGTCTCGAGAAGTGTGAATTATCAAATATCAAGTATGCTACTTGAATATACCAATAATAATTTTCATATGTTACACTGTTTCAGATATAATACATGCAGTAGTAAGTACTCAACAGGCATATGAAAAATTACCTTGGAACCAGAGTAGAACGTGAACACTAGGAAAGGAACCTCAATAATCATCTACTCAAGACTCGAATTGATTTGATATTGGTAGGTGATTTCGTGATGAGGAATGATATAAAACATAATTATTGATCTAATGACAGTTGATTTCAGATTCTTGAAATTTTGAGTCCTGCCTTTGATTTGAATATTTTAATCATGAGAAGTGATAGAGAAAAACAAAACCTGAATAAATACCGAATAAGTTAATCAATTTGACCAAGTGAATGATATGAAGATGAATAGAATATGAATGATAAACCTCTCTGAAATAAATGAAGCATAATTCAATATAATAGACTATTTTCCTATGATGAGATCGGATATGTTGGGAATACTTCATTATACTCAATCATTTGTTATCCATATTTCACAAGGAGTTTCCTGATACTATCTCAAATTCAAGCGATAAGTTTCACTTTTCACTCATCAAAATAAGGATGAAATATTACAAAACTCCTTTATTCCTATTTTGATATTAGAATTTGTCTCGGATCAATAATGTAAACAAAGGAACGTTGAAATGCCTTCGTTCAGTTGGAATGATAGTTACCTTAATGATGATTGAAACATAAAGGTTACCTCAATACAATGACCTTTGTGTAACGTGAAAAGGCTCTTGGTATGTCGAAGAACCTTCAAGGTTACTGGGAGGAACTGGATACTTCATTGTGCCCTTCATCATAACGTAACATGTTATTATCGTTACAAGAATGTGATGAAACTTACATGATTTATTGCCCAGTGACACGATTATTGTTTGGATTTCATTATTCGTCATTTTGTCATAATCTACGAGACAACCTCATTGCTGCCATTGCTGTCTACATCGGTGTGGCTCAGGTATATACACCGTCCTGACTCAGAACTTTGCTGAATTTTTGGTTGCGTGGTTACGAGGTGCGTGGTACCTTCGAACTCAATATAAACTATGATTTCCAAACCGTATCACTTTCAATTCATATTCTTCGGACAAAAATAATGATTCATTCACCGAATAATCAATTGGATCAATTTCAATATAGATATAAAAGACCTATAAGAAGTAATATTAAAAACAATTCAATGTTCTAAATATGTATTTGTGTTTTGTGTTTTGAACTATATATTTATTGTCGTAGAAACAATATTGTACATAACTCGTTGGAAAGTGAGTGTCATGCACACGTTACATTCAATTCGTACGAAATATGTCATTTTCCACACTAGTTATGTGACATAATATACTCCTTTGCTGAATACTCTATTATTCAGAAATCAGAAAGATTTATTATCAATTGACAAAGAACACAATAACTCAGGCAATCCCTGCCTATAGATTGTGACATTATTGTAGTGAATTATTTAAACAGAAATTAGTTGAATAGAATAGACCATTATGGATATAACGTTGTGTGTTGCATAGATGGAATTCAATACAATCTATACCTAATTACTGAGAACAAATTCTTCACATTCACGAAGAATATTTCAACAAGATACGTCAAGAAATGATTGCTTTTTCTTTCTCCTGGAGTTCTTTTACTCTGCTGCTGATGTTTTCAGCTTCCTCGATGGTGTCAGGAAGCTTTATGTTAGACGTTTCCGGAAACAGCATGGTCAGGAGTCCTGCTACGACTGACATAACCGAAAAACAAACCACTGGTAAGGGTTTCCAAATCTGAGCCTAGAAAAAGAAGAAATTACATATTATAGATTAATAGAATTATCAATCTGAAATCATAAGTTACGTACAAACAGACTATAGATGAGTAATATTGCCTTTATATTCTTAAAATATTTCAGGTCGACAGAGAGAAATGGTAATTCTGAATGCACACAACTGGTGAGGATCGTTTACAACCGATACAACAAGGCCGCAATGATCTAACGCACCAGGTTTCCTTTGGATGTTAATATATCTGGAAAGTGGATAGCAGCCATTCGCCGAAAGCATTTCACTCCATCCAACATGGGTTAAGTAAACTCTGTTGATTATATTTGCAAAGATTTTATCATAGCCATAAATTCAACAAGAGCAACCGATTTGAATAGAAGGTAATGAAATATTTCAAGGCTCGAACGAGATGGTGATCCTATCCAAGTCGTAATGAAGAATCAAGTATATTTGATAGGTACTGAAAATTTCGCTGAAGCAATTATTGTGAAAAGTGAATTTGAGTTTAGCAACTACCAAGAAATCATATTTTTACATGAAATTTCAGAAAGTTCTCGTTGCTCTGGAGTTTTTTCATCTGCCCAAAAGTTGGTACGAAATTATCGATTTTCAAAAAATCACATCATTCGAATTGTCTCATTCTCCAGGGCCCGTGATTGAATATTCTGTTATGACTGCTACTCTTTTTTCATGGCCTTGAATAAATGAACATACCTGAAAGAAGATATTCAGAAACCTTTCATTTTGAATGAAGACAATCAAATCATAGATTGACTGATAATCATACCAAAAGTGTTGCAAACCACATTCAGAATTCGTTGAAATTTTTTTTTTCAATTTTGATGAAGATACCGAACATAATTCTGATTCGTTATTCATATCAGAGCAAGTAACGTACAATATTTTTTCTAATTCTGATGGAAAATTTCGCTCAAACAATAGTAAATTGTTTTATTAGGATCAAAAGTGACACTTTGTTTGACAAGCGAATTTTGCATTTGCGAGGCGGAGCGTTCAGCGAAGCCGAGCGAAAGCAAAATTTGCGAGTCGAACAAAGTCACTTTTGATCCGAATGGAACATGCTATTTTTTCTGCAACCGAAACAATTAACTCAAATAAACATGTGAAGTTACCACCAATGCCTTGCCATATGTATGCATTGCAACAAATATTGGCAAATAATCCATGTGGTGAGAATATTCTACCTGCATTAACAGCAGGTTAGGTTTTCTAGGATGTTCGAATTGTAGTTTCAATATAAATACAACCACAGAGTGATATACTTATTTGTGTATGGACCAGGTGCTCTAAAGGCAAATACCGCGCCAGTGCCAGCTATAGGACAAGACGTGGAAAATGTTAGGTTAGTGAGCATATCAACAATGATAATAGAGTGATTATTTATTCCTCTCCATACTACACTGTGTTTGACTTGATAATCAAATGAAGCTAAACAATATCGTTGTTTGAGACAAAAAAACTATTGCTTGCCGTGATTATTCAAAAACAAGTTATCCATCCCGAGAATAACGAATGAAATACAGATCAAGCAAGTATTTGAATCTTGAAGGCTTCCCTGATCAAAACAAAAATACTTAACTGAGATGTTTATAATTCCAATACTAAACTATAATAAGGTGTATTTATATCTCCAGCATGGGTATGAAATGCCAAATCTGCTGAAATCGGAAACAAATCAGGTATGCGTCTTAACCCAAATAACCAACCGTCACAATGTTGTTTATTCTTGATGACGTCCAGTACATCCTTTTTAGTTCCTAGGAGCTAAAGTTCAACTTCAGCTCCTAGGAACTAAAATTCAACTTTAGCTCCTAGGAACTAAATATGTTGCCTAGCAACATACCTATTTTTGTGTCAGTAATAGAAACGTCAATTTAAGAGCTAATTTTGGTATCAAAATAGACGACTTTTGTGTCTGTTGCAGAAAATAGTAGTTTGTTTTATTAGGATCAAAAGTGACACTTTTTTTGACAAGCGAATTTTGCATTTGCGAGGCAGAGCGTTCAGCGAAGCCGAGCGAAAGCAAAATTTGCGAGTCGAACAAAGTCACTTTTGATCCGAATGGAACATGCTATTTTTTCTGCAACCGAAACAATTAACTCGAATAAATAGGTGAAGTAACCACCAATGCCGTGCCATATGTATATGCAATGCAACAAATATTGACAAATAATTCGTGTGGTGAGAATATTCTACCTACATTAACAGCAGGTTTATTCAATTTTCAAGGATGTTCGAATTGTGGTTTCAATATAAATACAACCACAGAGTGACATATTAGTGTATGGACCACGTGCTCTAATGGCAAATACCGCACCAGTGCCAGCTATGGGAACAAGGAGTGGAAAATGTTAGGTTAGTGAGCATATCAACAATATAGCGAATATTTATTCCTCTCCATACTATATACACTGTATTTGACTTGATCATCAAATGAAGCTAAACAATATCGTTGTTTGAGACGAAAAAACTATTGCGTGCCGTGATTATTCAAAAACAAGTTATCCATCCTAATAATAACGAATGAAATACAGATCAAGCAAGTATTTGAATCTTGAAGGCTTCCCTGATCGAAACACCAATTCCTAACTAAGATGTTTATAATTCCAATACTTAACTATAATAAAGTGTATGTATATCTCTAGCATCGGTATGAAATGTCAAATCTGCCGAAATCGGAAACAAATCAGGTATGCGTCCCAACCCAAATAACCAACCGTCACAATGTTGTTTATTCTTGATGAAGTCCAGTACATCGTTTTTAGTTCCTAGGAGCTAAAGTTCAACTTTAACTCCTAGGAACTAAACTTCAACTTTAGCTCCTAGGAACTAAATATGTTGCCTAGCCACATACCTATTTTTGTGCCAGTAATAGAAACGTCAATTTAAGAGCTAATTTTGGTATCAAAATGGACGACTTTTGTGTCGGTTGCAGAAAAAAGTAATTAAATGAGTTTTACCAATAATGACCAGAATTTAGTTAGCAAGTTGACTTCGCCCGTCACTTCGGAGTATCCGTCAAACAATAATAAGGCCACAAATCAGCGGCGGAATTCACGAAATAGAATCGTTCGATATATTCATTAGTGGAAAATAGCTGATTCTAGTTCAGATTTTCCAAGTGATATCTAGAAAGCAGCACAGGTTGCACTATTCTCTTCGTCCATCCACATTTTAAGTGACTCAAATGAATGGTATATTATGATTATCAGTAATTTTGTTGATTGTTCACTATATCTATTTGAATAATCCTAGTTTTTTCCCATCACCCAATTATTATCAATATTGAAAAACCAAATCACTCACCAAAAGTGGCGTTTGTGGAGCAATCATGCATCCGAGCCTCCCAAATGTGGAACAGAATCCCATGAAAGAATGTCTCAAATTCGTAGGGAACATCTCACTCGTGATTACATACAGATTGGTGAAGGCAGCTGTCGCTCCGAATTTACCAATGAGGTAGACAGATAAGCTGCCAGCATGAGAATCTGAAATAAAGAATCTATGGAGAAAGAGCTACATCTGTTTCAACTCACTTGAAACCTAGCTTAATTAGAATAGGAGGGGTGAAAGAATTTACACTCACAACTCCACCAAATGAAAAATGTTAATAATGACCAATGGTCATGGACATAAGTAAGGACATGTTTCGAAGGATTAATCCTTCACCATCTGTAAGAAGAAACAATGGTTATGTTAGTTATAAGTATTGATTAAGATGTACCTACCATTATTGGTGGAAAAAGTTTACTTAATACAAAACATGGAAAAAATTAATTTTGTTTTTAACCGCGCATAGTGCGGGTGAGCAAATATTAGGAAACCATTATTTCAACCTCAATAATAAGAGCTTATAGCTTTTTGAGATAAAGTGAAACAATTCAATAATTATCAAAATGAACCAACATGTGGACCTGGATTTGTTGAATTAGGTTAACTAATCACAAATGACAATCGACAGATGACAAGTGATGACAATGACGCTGAGGACAAAACACAACATTAGAATGACACCCGTCAAGTCGAAACTAAGGAATGTTTTGATTCGAAGTGACATAGAACACAGAACAAAAATTGTAATTAAAATAACAAGGACTTGAATAATTTAAGACTATCGATTTGAGTGTGTTCATTGAGGCAGTTGAGGTTAGAATTTTTGACCGCTTCATTAATTCCCAGAGTTTCAAGGAGGTTAAGTTTTTTCCCTTGTCACAAATATGTGAAATTTCTATGTTAGATTTGGGATCAAAAGAGTTTTTGTCATCCACCTCCTTGAAACTCTGGAAATTAATAAAGTGGTCAAAAATTCTAACCTCAACTGCCTCAATAAACAAACTCAAGTCGATAGTCTTAAATTATCCAACTCATTGTTATTTTAATTACAATTTTTGTTCTGTGTTCTATGTCACTTAGAATCAAAACATTCCTTAGTTTTGACTTGACCGGTGTCATTCTAATGTTGTGTTTTGTCCTCAGTGTCATCGTCATCAATTGTCATTTGTCGATTGTCATTTGTTATTAGTTAACCTAATTCACCAAATCCAGGTCCACATGTTGGTTCATTTTGATAATTGAATTGTTTCACTTTATTTTAAATAACTAAGCTCTCATTATTGAACTTAAATTAACGGTTTCTTGACATTTGCTCACCCGCACTATGCGCGATTAAAAACAAAATTATTTTTTTCCATGTTTTGAATTGAGTAAACTTTTTCCACCAATACTGGTAGGTACATTCAGATCCCTTGAATAATACTTATAACTAACATAAGCATTGTTTCTTCTCACAGATTTTCTTTTGACAAATTTGCTGATGATGAAGGATTAATCCTTCTAAATATGTCCTTACTCAGGTCCATGACCGTTGGTCATTGTTAAAATTTTTTATGTGGTGGAGTTGTGACTGTAAGTTCTTTCACCCCTCCTGATTTATATCACCTCCACTGTAAGTTATGAATCACCTACGTTGGTTTTATTAGAATAGTGTGAGCTAGACCTCGCCTCTCAACATTTAAATTGTCATGTAATCACATATGTACATTGCAAAAACAATGAATGCAATTTTTTATTATTATTATAATCATTAAATACAGAGTTATTCATGAGGAAGCTCACATAGCCAAATGATGAAAGGGCGAAATCAAGAATAGTAGTTTTTTGCTCATTCATAACGAAGATACAGAGCATTATGTGAAATTTCCATATAATTCTGATGGCCGAAATATCAGGAATGATTAATCGTAATTCGTCCAAATTTGGCAGCGACGTCCTCATATCGAAACTGTTCAAGATGGCATATCATGAAGAAAAATACATATCTGGACTTAAGAAAAATTGATTTTTTATTGTTATGTCAAAAGAAAGGTCTCTCTGTGATCACTTTCCTCCAGAAATTTCATCAGATTCATAAAGATCAGACAAAACGTTCATTAGAACTGCTCTTTGATTCCCACCTTGTTCAATTTGCGCATCGCACATTGGCCAATTGAATGAAAAAATATGGAACAAAATTATTCGAATGAATTTTCAATGGCTGATAACTTCAAACTGAATTCATGTAAACTGATTTGTTGGATTGAAATTGACCAAAGAAAGTATATCTAATTTTTTTTGAATATTTGAAATCGTAGTTTTTGGCCAAAATTCTATATAAAAATGATTATTCGTTACTGTATTTCATAATATATTCTATGAAGTAGGTCCTGTTTTCATTTCATGATGTGACGTGGCGTTTGTTGATAGGTAATCAATGGTTATCAAAATACTCCTGCCACTTCATATTCGAAACTGAAATTCGATTTTCCCATTGAACCGGCCAGACTGTGCAGTGTGAATTGAAAAGCAGTTCTAATGGCATTTGGTCTGATCTATCTTAATCTGAAGAACTGGAACTGGTTTCATAATTTCAATACTATTCAATTCGGCATTTTCCCAACATTCTGTTCATGAGTGTCACAATGATCATTGTTGGCAAGGAAACAAAAAGGATCAAAGCCTATTCGGTTTTTTCTCCTCCTCAAGATTTTTACAATGAACTCTGTTAATGATCAAGTGTTTTCTTCATATTCTGAATGAATGTGAATTTTTCCTGAAGCCGAACCTAGGTTCCACTCCGCCCGATAAGTCAATCAAATCAACGTCTCAAGTAGAAGCTCCATACCGAATTGGAGGAGAATATACTGGATAGTCTAATATTTATGGACGCGTCAATAATTATTCGAAATCTATGGATCTCCGTTATAGAGACAGTAAGAATAATCAAATGAGGTATTTTCAGAACTACCTTGGCGACCTCTATCTACCATTGAAATATTTCTCTTCACCCGTAAAAAAAACTGTATATACAACATTTCGTCTCGATTTCTCCTATTCACCATTTGGCAATGTGAGTCTCCTCATGAACCACCATGTTCAAATAAATTTCAGATGTAACGAGCTAATTTCCAATGATTTCTCAAAATGTATTTTGGTACCATTCGAAAATGGAATGATTATCAAATGAAAGTATAGTAGTAAACAACATTTTACCTTTCGTGGAAATTTCCCAAACTTACTCAAACGAAAGCCGAAACTTTAATTAACATGCAATATCACAATAAACAAATTCAATATTACATAAGTGTCAAATTGATTTTCGTTCAGATCCAAATACTGTCAATAATTGTCCATGGCATACTCTGTGGGTGCATACTACAGTTTTGTAACCTAACCTAACCTAACCTTTGATTATGTAACACATTGATTCGGATCGGGACTCAAGAGGTAGACCGCTTGCAGGACAATTTCAAGGATGACGCGCTCATTTATTATTATATGCGTTCGTGGATGATAGTATATTTTGTCACGAGTGTTAGTTATAAACGTCCTTTTAGTAACGAGTATTTCAGGCACAGCAGAGCGAGTGTTCAATAAACGAGTATCTAGAAGAGTTTATGAACGCGTTACATACTATACTTTCTCTAAGAAATCATGATTTCTCTCTTCGACAAGATTCCATGATTCCGAAAAATATAATAACCTATTCAACTGACAACCAACGAGACACGTATAAGTGAAATTGATTGTGAATGCGTTATTGCTTACTAACCTTTGTGAATAGAAAGTTTTCATCTGTCGTAAAAGATAAAAACTCTTCGATTTGCTGAGGAGGTATCAAAGTTTTCGATTCCTCAGGTTTGTATCTATATCTTCATTCTGATTTAATCATTTTTGGTAACATAAATGTTACAACGTTTATATATTGTCATGCTAGGCATAGAATAAATCGCCCACAAAAATGAGAGTTCCTTTTTCACACAGAGCTCTTGCAAATATGCAATTACCTAAAACATTATCTTCGATTTCACTTTCGTCTACATTTCGCATACATTTCTGATGGAGAATTCTGATACGAACAGAAATTGTATGAATAATTCTGATTGTTACCGATCGCAAATTGCAACAAGATTCGAACATAACAGTTGACAGTTCCTTCAATTGGCACGCCAGAAGAAATGAATACCTCTGCTCCCTTGATATATAAATAGCTATTATGAGACTATCATTTGCGAAATAGACTCGTGCCGCGATTATCGGAAGCTGTAGAATTGGCGAAGGATCTCGTAATGTTGTGAAAATGCAGTAGTCCGATGATAAAAGTAAAAGTTGAAGAACGAAAGCGAATTGATGAATCAGTCAAAGGTGTTTTCCGAGTAATATTCGAGAGGTACGTTTTCATTGTGATTCTGAATCGTCTATTGTAGTATTCGTATTTACATAAACCATTTCAAGTTTCCTACTGGGTGTTTGTGAGAAACAAACCTGAACGTTTATCATGACAGTGGTATCAGAGGTAAGGATTTTCTAGGACATTGAAATGATTTAACATGATGCTTCGAAATCACACAGCAAGATTACAACTGCAGATTCACACTTTTTGAGAATTATTGGTGAAATTTCATCTGAACCATTGGACATGTTCGTTTTGAGCCGAGCAGAATGCTATGCGGAAATATCCACTTTCTCTCGCGATATTGTTGCTAATCGTCTTCGGAAAGTGATGAAAATGAACTATCAGTGAACTTCCTTCTGACTGCTTCAGCGAGTGATCTTATTCCGGCATTATAGGATTCTCCTGATGCATCTATTGTTTGGCAGCAGTTATTTCTTGTTCAACATATTCTGCTTTGGTCACGAGGTTTGTGTCCTTGCGCCAGCAATGGTAGGCTCCTTCCTCAAGGCAACTACTCTAGAAAAGTTCTTGTTGAACTACGGTTCCGAATCTGACTGTCTCTCCAAAGAATGAGGTATGTGTCCATTCCAAGCGTGACGATCTCGGATAATACTGCTAAGAATGATTAGGATGTGGAGATGAGTGTGTGATCAGTATTGCCAAGTGGTGCTCGTACATCTATGGTGTGAGGTGCTGTATTATTAGTGAGTAATAACTTGAGAGTGAAAGGAATGGAAATTGGATTGGGTTGGGTTGGCCGGAATCATCAACCAGCTA